CAAGAGGTACCATTTGTCTACAAGCAAGAATTGGTAGGACCACAAAATAAAGCATCAGAAAATGAAGAAGCAAAACTGCTCTGGGACTTGAGAATTCTAACAGACAGGCACCTGCCATAAAACACACCATGTTCAAAAACTGTTGATAAGAATGACAAAAAAAGTCTGTATAGTGGATGAGGCAGTATCTGGAGATAACAGTATGGGAAAGAAAAAAATGGAGAAAATCACAAAATAAAAGACCTAAAATTGAAGTAGAACAACTGTGGTGAAAGAAAGCAAAGGTAATATGAATAGTAATAGTCGCCTTGGGTGGAGGCCCAAACATCTGGAACATTACTTGAACATCGTTGGCATTATAAAATCACCATCAGTCAATTGCAAAAAGTAGTTTTACTTGGGACAGCTTAAATCCTGCAAGGATACCTTTTATATCATCAAACATCTGCCTATCACAGGTCCTTGGAAAGGATTCGATAGGTGGACAAAAATGCCAAATCCAGTCTAAACATCTAGCTGACTGCACGAGCATTCATAATAATTTTTATTTCTATTCCACTCATGGGGTCTTAGAGAAAATTAAAACAAGGAGGCTTTTTGCTGAATTCTTATTAAGCTTAATCTTAGCTAGTCATAGAAATTATTCAGGTACCAATTCAGGCCAAGGAAATGCTGATTTTTTTCTTCTTCAATTGTTTCACTACTAATCCATCATCATCACTTCAAACCTGCCTATTTTACTGTGGTAAATCATTATATAGCAGAGTCATTTTTCCTTCAGGGCAGCCTTGGCAATATGCAATTTAGTTTGATTGATGGCAAAGGCAGGGCTTAATTTCAGTTATTATAAATTATTTTTTGCAGCATAGAAGGAGCCATAGTTCCTGTATTTTTTATTTTGATTTCTAAACATAGTTCATTTGTTAATTCTATTGTATCTTCCTCTGTTCCATCTACATTTTAATTGACTCTTCCCCCCCCAATTAGATACTTTGTTCACATTAGACCAATAGATCATCAAATAAATCAATCCAGAATTCTTCCAGACACAAATGACCTGGCTCAACTTATCCTACTTTGGACATAGTATGCAAAGACTTTAAACTTTGGAAAAGGCTTTGCTGCTGGCAAAGTTGGAAAGATCAGTAGCAAAGTAGATGGATTCAGTTACAGCTGTGATGGGTGCACTGTTGGAAGTTCTGAAATACCAGAATTACTGACAAATAATCATGGAGAAAATCAATCTATGTGATTGCCCAGAGTCTGCACCAACTTAACTATGCCACATAATCAACCAAAACCCAGCTCTATATGCATATACATTTGTCTATGTTTTGTTCTGTATCATTTAAAAGCCAGGAAATCACATAAGAGATTTGCTTTATTTTCTTATTTTATATTGTTTATATATACATATACATATACATATACATACATACATACATACATATATACATACATACATACATACATATATATATATTCTGATCAAAGGAGGGGGGCAACCAGGGAGATAGGGAGGCTGCCCCACCCACCCTAGAATCCAAGGAAAAGAAGGCAAATGAGGACATACACGTAGATAAGGGGTGCAGGAAGAAACGGATCACCGAGTACAATCTATCCAATTAGGTCCGATAACGAGATCAAGGAGCCGGCGCAGACTCTGGCTTGCTTATAAGAGACTCTCCCACTCTCTGGCGTTTTAAGCCCTGATGATGCCGGCAGGTGATGGCGAAAGCTTGGCGTTTTTAAATTAAACTTTTATAGTTTTAACTACCCTTGGTGCTCATTTTATTTTAAACATGAATATACCCAGGGTTCATATTTTTAATATTATTACTCATATAAAAGCTCCCCTTTTCATTGGCATTTGCAGGCTCCCAGTGCCTTATATCAGTTTGTTGATGTGATGGAATGTATGAGTGACCCTGGGGCAAAAAGAGGAAGAGACGCTGCCTAGGAAACAATCAGACAAGAGAGGTGGGGCCTGCAGTCACTTAATAGTCAGAAAAGGAAATTTTTGAAGGATATGCCATAATAGATCAAACAGTTAAAAGTGGAGGCAGAAAATTTGTGCCTTCAGACTTGTAATATTCTGTTAATGTAGTTGTACAATGAACTAGAATTAGTTTATCTTGCTGTATTTCCTATCAGACAAAAACAGCATCACACTGCAAGCTCCACCCCTTTGGAGGTGCCTATGATATTGCAGTGCACATGGAAAAAAGGTGGGCTTGCAATGAATGTTGCAACACTGCTGCCATTGTTCTGACTCCTATTTTCTCCCTTGGGGGCCACTGGTGTTTTGCTTCTGACATTCCAGTTGTCAGGCTCTCGGTTCTTTGCACACGCATACTCATTTCTATCTGAAGAAAGTAATATTATAAATGACTTTCACACTCATTCAGCCTTTCCTTGAGTACCAGCACAATAAAAGATTTTAATGTGCTCATATCTCAGCCCCACTTCAAGATTTTTTTCCTATGTGACCTTCTTGAAACATCCCAATCTGTTTAGAACAGCGGTTCTCAACCTGTGGGTCACGACCCCATTTGGGGTCAAATGACCATTTCACGAGGGTCGCCAAACAACGGAGTCCGCCATTTCCCCCCCCTTTTCCTTAGCTATGCTACTCCCTCTTATTCTATTGGCTTTTGAAAGCCAATAGAATAGACTCTATTCAAGAGATTCTATTCTATTGGCGTTCGAAAGCCAATAAAATCTATTGGCTTTCAAAAGCCAATAGAATAGACTCTCTTGAATAGAGTCTAATTCTACTGGCTTTCAAAAGCCAATAGAAATTGTCCAGGCTGTCTCTGCCCTGCTGAGCCCGCCAAAAGCCCCATTCTGCAAACGGTGCTGCAAGTTGTCTGCAGCTGAGATGAGCTTTCTGGACGTTTCCACCCCTCCCTGCTGAGCAACTACTAAAAAAGGGCCACAGGTGGGAGGTGGGAGGCCGGCGGGCGCAGGGAGGGTTGCTGGTGCACGTGGGGCCCGGTGGGTGCCTTACCTCCCTTGGGCTGGGCCAGCTGGTGGCCCAGCCGGTGGTTGGCCTGCACCATCGCTGCCGCTTGCCAGCTACACCTCGGCCGGTGCAGGGGGCAGCACCACGCATGCGCGGCGGTCCCGGGCTGAGGCGGTTGCTGGGCGACGGCCCGCGTGCAGCCGCAGGAGAGGAGGCGGAGCGTGCATGCCTCCTCCTGCCCCGCCCGTAGGGAAATATAGGTAGTCCTCGACTTACAACCACATGGTTGGGGTCGCAGCATTAGGAAGGTTGAGAACCACTGGTTTAGAAGTTATTAGTTGCATTCAGTATGGAGAGTGGAACAATGGATCAAATGCAGTGAAGCATATTTCACTGATATATTTATTGTAGGGCCATCTATGTTGGGTCAAAAAGTCAAGATGGTGGCTGCGATTTTGAAAATGAACAGCCACCTCTTTTTTAACAGACCTTTTTTTATCCTCCAAATGTGCTACACTACAGATCCTGAAGTTATTTCATGCAAAGAGGAGTAATAAGAGACCCAAGTCATGAGCACCCCATACTACAAGGAGCTGGGCCTATCCCTCCTGCCACCCTAATTAGAACCAGCCACGGGGAAGGAGGATAACCCACAAAATAATCCCTCCAGTCCAGAAGAATAATACTATGGTATGAAAAACTGCCAAAAAATCCAGGAGAGCCAAGACAGTTGTACCATTTATGTCCGGGACCACTAGAGATCATCCATAAATGCCATGAGTGCCATCTCAGTAGTATAGTCCAGCCTGAACCCAGACTGAAAAGGTCAGATAAGGACACTGGATTAAAGAAGCCTAAAGTAAGCACATATGATGGCTCCAATGATTTGGATCAAACCAACAAGGATAAAGTGACATTGCATTTTAACAATGGTTACTACAGGGTTTTTTGCCTACTTTCATTTCAGTTTTGCAACTACAATTATTGGTGGATAATTAATGAATTCTATGCTGGATCCTTTGTGACAGTTTTGTTTCTTTTCCAGGCTGTACTTCAGGTGGGCTGCCTGTCTTCCACCCCCCTTTTAAAAAAAAAAATAGAGTAATATGCCTTTAGTTATCTGGAACAGAAGCTATAGCTGGCATTCTTGCAGATATTAGCTAATAGGCACATCCAGCTGTTTTAGAATCAGTCCTAGTGAAAACTTGGGAGCATATTTTTCAAGGCTAGCCACTGGATAAAAGAAAAGTATAACTGTACTGAAAACCTGTGCTATTATTATTGCTGTTACCATTTTTGTTAACAAAAGGATTTATCTGCCAAAGAGGATTTGTATGAATTCACTGTACTGAAAACATTCACCGTTTTATATCTGCTTGCTTTCACTCAAATGCATTCCGGAAGTTCTCTAACAAAATATTAGTAAAAGCCTCCAAGAAAAAGATTGCTTCTGTTTCTTTTAAGCCTGGGGATCCAGGAAATGTTCCACAACATTGGGTTCAGCACAAACAAGAAGCTGCCCTGTGCGTAATATCATTATCTTGGACAGAGAGAAAAAAGCAGAGGGTTTTTTTAGCTGATCTTAATAGAAAGAAGAGTGGATTTGACAAAAAATACTGGTTGTCTTATGAAATGTAGGGTGCTACCTAATAGTAAGTGAAATCATTACAACAGGCACAAAATGACTAATGTCTCCCCAAATGAGTCCTTTATCATAATTTTTTGCTCCTTTATCATAAATCTATTAACTATAGATGTTTCAGATTGCACTTTTGCCCCGTACGTCTAACATTTGCATTCTTCTTAGTGTTGTATGTTCTCCCAGGTATCTTTATCTGCATTACAGTTTACAGTATAGAAAATACTGCCTTTCTTTAGACCAGAAATGGAGGGATTGGTCCCCCATTTGTACTAACCAGCAGCTGGGATTGTTGGGTAGGGGGTAGAACCCAGCATCTGGATTGCACAACTTCCTCATCACTCCTCCATAATGTGCACAAATGGGTGAGACATGGAATATATTCTGAACACTTACTGGAAGCAGTCAGGATATTCTGCAAGGGCCACATCGATTACATCCAATGCATGTTGGTAGTGTTTTTGTGATGAAAAAAGGAGGGCCAACAAATGAAGAGAATTCATATCATCCTTACACAGTTTCAGTGCTTCTTGGAGATGTTCTATTGCATCACAAATCTGCAAAATAAATATAAATGATTGCTCAGTTACTCATCCTTTCAGATCAGTTTCATTTGTTCTGGCCTTTTGACTACAACAAAATAAAAAGAGTCCTAAAGCTAAAATATCAGCAAAGGCAGAGTTATTAAAATCTAATTGCAAGGAGTAATTGAACTCCCCAGCAAGAATATTAAAACATTTTTATACAATCCTAAAATCCTATAAAATAACACTTCAGTTATTTAAATAGTATTTAAATAGTAGCAGGTGACAAGTATTTTCAAAGCAGTTAAACAAAAACAGGAAGAAAGTTATTACCCAACTGATCTCTTAATCGCGTTACCTTTTTAATTTAACCATGTCTTGTATGCATCACTATAAACAAAGGGTGACCTACTTTACATTTATTTATTCATTTATTGAACTTACACTCCTCTGAATTCAACTAAATCTTGACCTACAAGATATACAACTCAATAGCAATGAAAATATCAGTGGTAAAAATCCCAACATAATTGACTAGAAAAATGAAAGTAAAAAAGAATAATAACAGGTCAATGCAATGCAATGTAAATCAAGAATTTTCTTTCCAAATAATTCCAAAATTTGAAAACCTACAGAAGAGGGACAAGTCTGATCTCCAAGGGGAAGTCATTTTAAAACAACGGTGCTGCCATCTATCAGGTAGTTTTTTTTAACTTTAGAAAGCATGAAATGTTGCAACCTTCTAAATTATTTTGCTAAATGACAGGAACTCACCAGTAATAGAGGCTTAAAAACAAACTCAGTGGGCTTCTAAACTCTTACCTTGAAGTCAAGGAATTAACAGAACAATTATTTTAATCTAGCTCCTTTAACAGTAGCCACCAAATTGACTGATGAAAGTTTTAATCATGGCATATAATCTGCCAGATACATTAGTGGTATCATTTACCCTTTGGTTAATCAGAAAGAGAATACATTAGATATTTTAGATTATTCAGAATATTAACATATATTAAAATGTTTACTATGAGCTACTCTGACAAAAGCAGAATATTTTAAATGTTTTAGCTAGCAGCCTCAAACTATACTTCAAGCATGGTTTAAAGATTTACATGCAATTAAATGAAGAAAAATAGGATGAGTATAGAAAATTCTGCCCAAATATCAATTGATTTTTATAATATATTAGGGGGGTATCCTAAACTGCATTTGGGGCCTCCAGACTGTTCTGGTATATAACCAACAATATATAACACTAAAAGTTAGTGAAACAATAACTTTCAATCAACACTAATCGCAAGAAGCAGCCAATTCCAAATTTAGTTCAAAGAAAATCTTTTCTTAAAAAGCATAAGTCTCTGAAAAAACTATTTAACTATTTAAGCTATTGTGTAGTGGAAGAAGAAATAAATGAGATTGGTGATAAAAGGAGGGATGAGAGAGATTAAGAACTAGAATACATCTGGAAGGGATACCTGAATTGATAACTTGTTGATTTAAAGTTAAATTTGATTATGGTAATTGTAAACTGATAAAGTTTTAAAACAGGTTTAGTAGTAATAGAAATTTAATTTAGAAATGGAATATTTTAAACGTATTATGTTATTTGAGGGATATAGAGAGGGGACAGTGAATGTATTAAGTTGAGTTGTTTATTTATGTTTTTACTTTTGAATGTCTGATTACCCAAACACCACGGTGTGTCCTGAGTACTTTTTCTTAAGAATTAAAAAACCAATAAAATATCTTTTAAAAAAAGAATAGTATAAAATATAGTCCAGCAACATCTGAAGGACTACAAGTTGCCCACCCTCATCTAGAAGCTTTTCCAATCATTTTATGTCTTCCATAAATATGCATAAGAAGAGACTTAATAAAATTATAATTCAAGCATCAGAAAGTTAGCAAAATATATGTAAATAGCAATATGCAATAATGGGCCTAAAAACAATTGAAGCACCCTGAAGAAAGACCAGTGTAAAAATCTATGCCAAAGAAATTTTACCTACCTGCCTAATAAGAGCCAGCTGCAATGAGATATAGAGGATAATTTGGTGGTCTTCAGGTGCCAAGTGATGAGCTCTGTAAAACACAAATGTAGCTTTTGCAGCAGTGCAAAAATTATTTACCATAAATTTACCAGGGATAGATAAAAACTCTTACAATCAACCACAAAGTAGAATCACCCATTTTAATGGAGTGAGCGGTTATTATATAGTGATACTTCATTAAAGCTTTACAAATTGCATCAAAAAAAAGTCTGATCTGAAAAAGCCCATTTGGGAAAGCAGAAAACATCTAAAATTTATATCAGAGAGAACTAAGTTTCAGCACCCATTCAGCCATCAAACTCTGTGGCATTGAGCAACTGTGGTATGTGAAACCTAATAAATGTAGGTGGGTAAACTTCTAGGACTAGGAAGATTCAGATTCAAGAGCCTACTCAACCATGAAATTCTTTGAAGTATATATAGCATCAGCCCTGCTAGATGATTAGTCAACTAAATCAGCTGTGAGAATTAAATGTGGCGGTATCAGGAAGCCCATGAATGCTTGCAAATCCTAAAGGAAAGTAGAAATGAATGTTTGTGTGTGAACAAACAAACCATAACACATATCACCTGAATATTAAAGCATGAAAAAGGCTCCCAATAGATCAACCTAACAATCATAACTGTTTCATACAAAAATTAGTGTTCTGCAAAGTTCAGAGATAAAATTTGAGGTCCCCCTTTTGCAACCAGACTTGAATGTTACACTGCCTCCATATTTGGATGTACCAGATAGCTGTCATAGCTATGAGCTGTTGGTGGATTTATCCACCATGATGCTTACATCCTTCTGTAATAAAGGAATGTTAATGGAATAGATGCTATGATCTCAGGTTCAATCTCTTGTGATATGATTGCATGGATAAATGTCCACCATCTGGAATAATAATGCATAGGTCTTTCAAGAATGCAAAGGGTCTTTCAAGGATATTCTGGTAATCTGTAGGTGCATTGGTTCAGGTGACATTTTGATTGGTTTGGGGTGAGGTATCATCAATATGCTCTGATACTGAAAAGCATAGCCATGAGATGATATAATGGAGGTTCTTCTTTGCTGTTAAAGGCTGTCAAACTTAAACAGAACCCAAATAATAAAGGCAGCCTGGCAGGGTTTTTTGGCAAGATTTCAGAAGTGGTTTGTCCTTGCCTCCTTCCTAGGCTGACCCAAGGTCACCTAGTTGGTTTTGAATCTAGAGTAAAATTAGAATTCATGGTCTCTCAGTTTCTAGTCTGATGATCTTACCCACTACACCTAAGTGGTTCTTGTATCTGGTTATTGCTACAATAAATCTATCAAGCAAATCCAGTTCAAATTCATGTTATCAAAGAAAGCTTAATGAGAAATAATATCCAAAGTAGGCAAAACTGAGGTTAAGCAATGAGCTGAAGTCAAATGCTAAGAATTTGCAGACTGAAAATCACAGGTAGTCTTTAAAAATTCATATTGTTACAAGGACTGTGGTTGCTCTCTAAATATCAGAGCCTTCGATCTCCCGAACCAAGTATAGCAGGCCTAAATCAGGTCAGGATGTCCTGAATTATTTTGCTTAACCAATCCAAATCTTCCTTTGATTTCAGGTTCTGTATTTTTCCAACATTTACATTCTAAGTACCCATTAAAAGCTGTACATCCTTTCTTGACATTGTATTTGGCATCTCTTACAATTTGCTATTAGGTCCCGCGATGGATCCCTCCCTTGAGTCATCAATAGGAGTACATATCTGTATAGCACAGTTATTAGATAGTCACTTATTCTGACATATTCCATTGTGCCTAACTTCACTTATGCTAAGATATTGAATTTAGTATATATTCTTTCTGCTTTGACAATTTCAGGCTTTCTTTGATTATCTCTTATTTCATATTCCAGTTGTATTTATCCTTGCAGATCATATAACTCCTCTTTCAATACTGGCTGCAAAAGTGACCAGACTCTCCTATGGCTTTGGTCTGACTGCATCATCCCTGCCAGAACTTCAAAATGATAACATATGTACAGTATGGTCATGTCATGACACAAATTCTACTGTTATGTGTTTGTAATGTCTGATGCAAGTTCGTATGTTACGGCACACATTTTGTTACCTGCCTCCTATTTCCCCTCCTAAGAGTGCATACATGTAAAACTTTGATCTTCTTCTCCAGTAACTAGGAGATTACTACCCGACCTTGAGAGTCTCTTCATCTGGCATCCAAATTTCTGAAAATGACACAGCAGTGATCATAGAGTTTTCTTGTCAGCAGTACCAAAGTGGAGTATCCTTGTCTTTGATAGATTTAACTTTCTTTTCCATGCATCAGAGATACTTCCTCAATATTTCCTAATGAGGGATACTAGGGATAATACCTAATACTGTATTAGGGATAGTATTGTTGTTGTTGTTAATTGCGAAGTCGTGTCCGACCCATTGTGACCCCATGAACAACGTTCCTCCAGGTCTTCCTGTCCTCTACCATCTTCTGGAGTCCATTTAAGCTCACACCTACTGCTTCAGTGACTCCATCCAGCCATCTCATTCTCTATCGTCCCCTTTTTCTATTGCCCTCAATCTTTCCCAGCATTAGGCCCTTCTCCAGTGAGTCCTTCCTTCTCATTAGGTGGCCAAAGTATTTGAGTTTCAACTTCAGGATCTGGCCTTCTAAAGAGCAGTCGGGGTTGATCTCTTCTAGGACTGACCGGTTTGAACGCCTTGCAGTCCAAGGGACTCGCAGGAGTCTTCTCCAGCACCATAGTTCAAAGGCCTCAATTCTTTGGCGCTCAGCCTTTCTTATGGTCCAACTTTCACAGCCATACATTGCAACTGGGAAAGCCATGGCCTGGACTATACGCACTTTTGTTGGCAGGGTGATGTCTCTGCTTTTTAGTATGCTGTCTAGATTTGCCATAGCTTTCCTCCCCAGGAGCAAGCGTCTTTTAATTTCTTGGCTGCAGTCCCCATCTGAGGTGATCTTGGAGCCCAGAAAAATAAAATCTGTCACTACCTCCATTTCTTCCCCATCTATTTGCCAGGAACTGAGAGGGCCAGATGCCATGATTTTGGTTTTCTTAATGTTGAGTTTCAAGCCAACTTTTGCACTCTCCTTCTTCACCCGCATCAAGAGGCTCTTTAGTTCCTCTTCACTTTCTGCCATTAGAGTGGTATCATCTGCATATCTTAGGTTGTTGATATTTCTCCCGGCAATCTTAATTCCAACTTTTGATTCATCTAGCCCTGCCTTTCTCATGATGTGCTCTGCATATAAGTTAAATAGGCAGGGCGACAGTATACAGCCTTGCTGGACTCCTTTTCCCAATTTTGAACCAATCAGTGGTTCCGTGTCCAGTACTCACTGTTGCTTCTTGACCCGCATATAGGTTTCTCAAGAGACAAATAGATGGTCTGGTACTCCCATCTCTTTAAGAACTTGCCACAATTTGTTGTGATCCACACAATCAAAGGCTTTAGCATAGTCAATGAAGCAGAAGTAGATGTTTTTCTGGAACTCCCTAGCTTTCTCCATGATCCAGCGTATGTTGGCAATTTTATCTCTAGTTCCTCTGCCTCTTTGAAATCGTGCCTGTACTTCTGGTAGTTCTCGATCTATATACTGCTGGAGTCTAGCTTATAGGATTTTAAGCATAACTTTACTAGCATGTGAAATGAGTGCAATGGTGCGATAGTTTGAACATTCTTTGGCATTGCCAAAGATAGTATACCTAATACCTAATACTGTAGCTATTACTGCATTCCCCTCCCCTCAAACAGAGAGAGATTTGCATTAAAACTGGATATGTCAACTGATATGCACAGACCTGCGTTTAGGAATAATTATCTAGCTAGAAATTCAAAACATTTGGATATAGCAGGGAATATTGTGAGCAAATGAACACTGTGATACCTCCTGATGGTGCTAACAGAGAAATGATGATAACTCTCCTTTAGACCCTCAACCAGCCTGCTAGAGCTATCAGTATAAGAGATGGACAGAATTCAGATAGATACCTTATTTTTACTGGAGATACCAGAAGTGTCAATAAGAAAGAGAGCTACTGCACTATCTAGCAATCCAGCCTCTTTGACATACTAGTTCTAAGGCAGGGGTCTTCAAACTTGGCCCTTTCATGACTTGTGGCTTCAACTCCCAGAATTCCTCAGCCAGACAAGCTGGCTGAGGAAATCTGGGAGTTGAAGTCCACAAGTCAAAAAAGGGCCAAGTTTGAAGACCTCTGTTCTAAGGGTTTCGATGTCCTCCTCTCACCCTTCTGTGGTAACAAACTTCTTGCTACTCAATTGTTAGCCCTGGACACAGGAGACATTTGCACCATGTTCTGAAAATTGTCTGTCTCAATTATAAATCTGCCAAGACTGAAGACAAGAACCCTGAGACACCTGTCTTGAACTTTTTACCTTTTTTAAGTTGGCAGATTCAGAAAGTCAATTTCAAGGCTCTTGCCCCATCTTCCTTTCTTATAATTTTAAGCTGGATTTAAATTAGTAGCCAATCACACAGAGTTCCCCATCACCCTCACAGCACAATTAACAAGAGAAGTAGAACTACAGTGCAAAGACCATTTGATAGAAAATAATGTTTTGATTCCTCACATATTTTCCTTGCTATGATTCTAATTCTAAAATATTATTCATGTTTCAAACAGAGAGATGCTCAGCTCAAGCCCCCGATAATATGCCAGTTGAATGCCAATTGGCAGGCAAATTATAGTCAAGATTAAATCTTTGACATAGACATAGAGGAAGGGAAGGCACTTCAAAACTTCAAATGCCTTTAATAATATTGCTCTGAGCAATTTAGAATGAATGCATTCATAGTGTGATACTATTCTCCTGATATTAAAGAGAATGTCTTGGTTTTAAAAAATCTGAAAAAGAGTCATTCTAATTTAACTGAATATGAAGTGATTATTACTAGGTTCATGATAGGGTCAGGTTTTTACTGCTTTCAATAACTGTGTACAGCAGCAAATGTCAACAGGTGAATTTTTTCCTACTCTAGAGCAGCATTACCCAAACCAATGGCATCAGCAAAAATTA